AACCACACATAATCATGACCACACACAATCACATGCAACCTCACACATGTGACCACACAGGCACACACCATCGTACACAGCCCTAAACATGTAATGGCACAAGCACACACAATCATGACCACATGCAGTCACACAGGTGGTCACACACATGGCACAACCACACAGGGTCACAAACACACACACGCACCCCCTGGCCAGGGCTGCAGGAGGTGGGTGGGCTCTGGGTCTGCAGGATCAGCACCCGTGGGCACAGGCAGAGGTGCTATGGGGGCCACCACCCTGCTCATAAGGCCACCCACAGTCACGACGCACCAAAGGCGTCCTTGTGCCTGGTTCACAGTGAACACGAACGGGGCCCAGGGGATCGGGGGATGTGAAAACACGTTCCCCAAACCTCTGGCCCTCCCAACGCCCAGGCCTTCCCGTATGGGGTCCCGGGAGCCTGGCCTTGACCCCTAAGGATGGGGAAGGAGCGTGAGGACTTGGCCATCCTCAGCCACGTCGCGGGAAATACAGACATTTCCAACGAGACCACGAGAACTTGGAGAGCGTCATGAAATGTGTGGCGAGAACGGCCTTCCTGTGTGTGTGGTGTCCCTAATCCCCCAGCAAACACCTCCACCCCAGTTCATAACCACACGCTCCCCAAACTGGTACCCCAAATCCTCGTCATCTTGTTCACTCCCGGGCAGCTGAGACACTGAGACGGGGAGGGAGAGAAGCAGAGCGGCCCCTTGTCAAACACACGTCGTCGGTCTTTACCCATCTCTGTCCGTCTGAGCGCTGCAGCCCTGCCCGCCCGCCACCCCCGCCTCCAGAGCCCGGGCTGAGGACCACCTTGGTTTTAGTCACGTTAACTCACAGAAAGGCCAGGACACCGGCGTCGGGGATGGGGAGTCCTGGGGCCCCCTGCCCGCAGTGTGCACGGCGGGTGGGATGCACCCCCAGAGGGGACGGCACAGCCTCTGCGCGCACAGCCAGTCCGCCTGTCCGCACAGCCTCACGCACACCCTGACCTGGTCACACAGCATCTACGGAGCCACGTCCACACAGCGCGACGCCCGGGGAGCGGAGGCTCAGAGAGGGGCCCCTCTGCCATTTCAGGACCTTCCCCCACCCGCACCCCCACCCCCACCCGCTCCTGGACCCGGACTCACCGCGCTCTGCGCCGCGTCCAGCGCCGCTGCGCCAGCCGAGCGGACCTCAGGGAGCCGGGCGGGGCGGGCACTGCGGGCTGAGCCGGAGCCGGGCGGCACTTGGGCCGGAGGGGCGGCACCTGTGCAGGGGCGGCTCAGGCTCCCGGAGCGTCTGGGTTGGGGCTGGGCCTGGGCTGGGGGCGGGACCTGGGCTCCGGGAGCCACCGGCTAGGGGCGCTCACCCCCTCCCCATACCTCCGCTGCCCGCCCCAACTGCGCCCCTTCCCGGGCGCACGTGAGCCCCTCCCGCCTCTGTCCCTCCAGAGGACGCTGTGGCCCAGGTGACGCTCCAGCGGGGGTGGGGAGGGTGGGGAGTGGGAGCACCCGGTGCCTGGGAGCCAGGGGCTGGGGGGCCGTCCCTGGCCCCTCGGCTGGGCTGCTTCAGGTGGAGGGCAGGGCTTGGGTAGGTGGTCGGGGCTTGGGCAGGGGAGGGGCGCAGGGATCTGCAGAAGCAGATGCTCAGAGAGCGTGGGGAACGGGTGCCCTGTGTGAATAAGTACACTATTTTTTTTTATTAAAAGTTTTTTTTAATATATATTTTATTGATTTTGTACAGAGAGGAAGGGAGAGAGATAGTTAGAAATATCGATGAGAGAGAGTCATCGATCAGCTGCCTCTTGCACACCCCCTACTGGGGATATGCCCGCAACCAAGGTACATGCCCTTGACCGGAATCGAACCCGGGACCCTTCAGTCCCCAAGCTGCCAAACCAGTCCCGGCACTATTTTTTTTTTTTTATTTATTTATTTTTTTATTTTTTAAATATATTTTATTGATGTTTTACAGAGAGGAAGGGAGAGAGATAGAGAGCTAGAAACGTCAATGAGAGAGAAACATCGACCAGCTGCCTCTTGCACACTCCCTACAGGGGAGGTGCCCGCAACCAACGTACATGCCCTTGACCGGAATGGAACCCGGGACCTTTCAGTCCCCAGACTGACGCTCTACCACTGAGCCAAACCGGTTTCGGCTATTTTTTTTTTTTTTAAATAAACTTGCTTTTAGAACAGTTTTGGGTTTACAGAAAAGCCATGAAGGTAGTACTAGGGTTTCCAAGTGCCTGCACTCAGTTTCCCCCATTACTGGCATCTTACATTACCGTGAGATACTAACAAACCAATGTGCACACCCTGTGAACGAGCACGCTTTGTTCAGATTCCTCAGTTTCCCCAATATCTCGCCAGGCCCCGAGGCGGGGTCGGTTTCTCAGCCTTCCCTCTCTCTGGATGCCCGCCGGGCAGCAGTGAGGAGGGCTCGGAGTTTGGGGGGCGCTCCTCTGTTGGGGTCCTTCAGGTGTTCCTCACCACCTGGCCGAGCAATGGCTTCAGCTCTCCGGATGCACCTGGCAGGGCCACGAGGCAGCCCAGCTACTCTCCCTTCCAACGTGGACTGCGTATCCTGCCGGGACACCATGCCCCGCCCGGAAGCCCGTTAGGACTGTAGGGCGAAATAGGCATCCTCCAGGGCCATGTGTAACTTCCTGCCTCGGGAGACACAGGCCAAGAGAGAAAGCTGGCTGGACTCCAGGAGTCAGACCGTGTGAGAAACTGAAACCGTCCCGAGGACGTCCAAGCCCGCCAGCTCAGCCCTCAAACTCACCAATGCCTCCCACCTGTGACTGCAGATAAGGACGCTGCCATCCTCAACCCAATGTAAATTCGCTCTGGAGCAGGTCACCCAATCTGGCCCTGCCTGTCTGCACAGGAAAAGAAGCATGTTTCCTGATCTGTGGAAACTCGTGGAACTCGCATTTCAGTGTCCCCCAACAGCTTTGGCCACAGTCACCCCGTCTGCCCACGTTGCCTGATGCTTCCAGCCACAGCGACAGAGCTGACTCGCTGTGACAGAAGCCGTGTGGTCTGAAAAGTCCCAAACATTCGCCACCTGACCTTTACGGCAGGTCTGCAGCCCCCACGATCGGCGATCTCCTTCCGATTTCTGAGGTAGCCGTGAATGAGCTAACGGTATCCAAGACATGGGAACAGACTTCCTTCAACTCTGAAACGCCATGACGACAGCATACCCCCGAAGAGAGGCACTGTAGCAAAAACCCAGCCTCACACCAGCCTGACCATTCACCTGTAAGCAGGTGACAATGCAGGATGGTCCACACCCCCAAACCCCCACCATGTGCCCAATGGGGTTCCAGGCTCCTCCAGCTCACTGCACCTCAGAAAAGGCCAAGGTCAAGTCCTACATATCAAAAGCTGTTTAATTATAAGATTTGAATAGAAGCAAGGCCAAAACTGCAAACAAAAACTGTAGGAACTAACATCACCTTCAAATTCTGTGACATTTGTCTAATTTCCAAAACAAAAGAGATTCCCATCTTTGACACCGATGTACAAAATGGCTTAAATTAAGGCGCAGGCTGAGGGTAGACAGGGTCCACATGGTCCTCTGCCCAGGCCGCCTCAGGGCTGCATCCAGGTCCCGGCCTCGAGGAGTTCCCATGGGGCCAAAGGTCAGCTGCTCTCCCTCCCAGGAGAGACGCAGGGAAACAGGTGGAAGACATCTTGTTTTCTGAGGAATAAAAGTTCTCCCTTGAGAAGTGTGGCTAACAGAGATGGTCTGCCAGTCCGACTGGCGCTGGTATTTTTGGAGTGGATTGTGGTTTGGCCCGTTCCCATGGTCTACAAGACGCAGGAGGGACCACATGGCTGGAAGGTCTGTGCCTTCACGTCACTCCGATGGAAAATCTTCTGAACATGAGTCTGGAGGTTGCGTGGATGGACAGGGAGGGGCAAGGTCCGAGGACCAGAGTCCTGGCGGTCGGTAGCCCCAGGGCACCTCCATTCCGAGTGGTGGTGACACATGCAACACGATGGTGGGCGGAGGGAGCCGGGAAGGGGGTCTCTGGGCCAGCTCCACCGCGGCGTGTCATGAGGTTCAGAGGTAGAAAACAAAATGCCAGTTTCAGAATATTCCCCCACGTTCCAGAAACTCCTCGCAGATGCTCGCCTCGCTCGTGCTGCAACTGGAGGCCAGGGAGGCATGTGCTGGAATGCAGTCAAGAGCGTGCAGATGCCCGGGATGTGGAACGGGAAGCCCAGCCCCTGTGCTGAGAAGTGGAGCCGACACCAAGGACAGAGCTGGCTGTTGAGGGCCCTGGGGTGTCGGGCCCTGTGGACCCCAAGGGTGGCCACCTGGCCTGGTGCCATCCTGCCTTCAGGAAGGGCAGTCCAAGAGAGGCGACACCTCTGGAATTTCGGAAAGTCGTGGCTGTTTGTTAAGACATGAAGGGGTTGGACAGAGCGCAGGCTGCAGACTCCCAGGCTGACGAAGGAACCAGGGTCAGGCTCAGACCAAGAGCCCCCGTCCATTTACCACCACTTTGCTGGCAGCTCTTAGCCCGGCTCCCCAACCTGTCCAGAGATGGGTGCAGACCCCGTGCCAGCGGGGCTGAGGGCTGAGTCCACACCTCCAGGCCGGGCTCTCGGCATCCGGAACAGCCGCACTGCAGAAGGAAAGCCCTGGCCTTGGGGGCAGCCCACTCCCCTCCGCCCAGGGGCCCCTGGAGGGAGCAGCAGCATGGTGTGAGCACCGAATGTGGCAGGTGTGCAGCCATCAGCGGCAGAGGTTCCCCCGAGACTCCGACTAGAAGAGGGGGCTGGGATCACGGGGCGGGGACCTCGGCGGCCCACGGGGTTGCGGTGGCCACGTGAGCTGGGAGCAGGGCCGAGGTCCAGGTGTGGCTGGGCTTGGGGAGGCAGCGATGTGAGCGTTGGCCAGACCAGAGCACCGAGTTGGGGGAATGGCAGGTCCAGTCTTGGAGGGCGGCGAGGGGCCGAGGCTGCTGTCCTCTAGGCTGAAGTGCCTGGCAGGCCGGAAGGCTCCGGGGCGTGGCCGGCAGGGCTCCCGGGTTCCTGGGCGGACACCCCGGCCACATCCTGGGGACCAGCCAGCTTCCGGGGCTGCTCTTCGGGCAGGGTGGGCTTGGCCTGTGCTTCTCCTGGAGGCTGCTTGGGAAACACCTCGGAGTCTCTCAGAGGCCGCGGGCCTTCGGCCGAGGCTGGCACCCAAGGAGGCTGAGGTAGATCCTTCTGGAAGAGGAGAGAGCCAGCGGTGAGGTGTGGGCGAGGCCAGCGGGGCCTCAGGGGAGGAGGCAGGAGTCACTGTGTCCAGAGGGTCAGGCTCTCGGCCTGGGGTGGGGAACCTTTGTTCTGCCCAGGGCCATTTGGAAATTTATAACATAATTCACAGGCCACAAAAAATTATCAACTTAAAAACTGGCCTGCTACGGTCAGTCACATGCTCAGTTAACTCACCCCAATGCCGTGGCAGGGCCAGACTGAGTGATGTCACAGCCCTGTACGGCCCGTGGACCAGACGTTCCCCTCTATTCCCAGCATGCGGGCCACAAGGAGGGGGACCTGGCGCAGAAACCTGACTGGCACTGGCTTGTTCCCCTCGCCTGAACCTTCTAGTACCAGCTCAGCAGTTCTGTGGCAAAGCCGACGCCTGTGGGCACTGAGACCCTTTGAGAACCAGGAGGCCTCCCCAACGGCCTGGGAAGGGTCTGGCTCCAGGCGGGTCAACGTCAGACCTGGAGCCCTGGTCCTTTCTGGGCAACACACACTCAACCGTGCTATGTGTGCCGTGTCACACTCTGGGGAAGCCCCACGGATACCCCTCCTTTGGGCAGTGTGCTGGCTGACCTTCAGGCGAGGAAGGCTGGCCGGCACACTCTCCCTGAGGTGTCAGGTCCCCTGCAGAGCCCAGGGCCTGAGCCGTGACAGCGCTCACCCTGGCAGAGGGGCTCCAGTCACCCCCCGAGCCTAACACTGCATCTCCATGGTGAGAGCCAGTACCCACGCAAGTGGGGTGCTACTGTGCTGTGGGACCAGGACCTTCGAGTCTCGGCTGGCATGGCAGCCACACATTATCCCCTCCACGGGGATGGCTGAGCCACCTGCAACATGGACACAACACCCAAATCACAATCTTCTGGAAATGGGGAGACACCAACACAGGAGGGGGCTGCAGGGTTTAGTTGTAAAACTGGAGGCTTTACTCAACTTTAATTCTAGTTAAGGCTTATGGGTTATTTCTCGCAGACAGTCATAGCAAACTGGTATTCACCGCAAAGCCACTGCCCGTCCAGAACATGCCCAGCTCCCCGCGCCACAGGGCCAGGGCGCCACTGGTGATGAGCGTGCAGGGCACCAGGTAGAGGAGGGCTGGCTGGCCACGCTGCATGAGGGCCAGGGCCATGAATGTCACCAGGAGGCCGATGCCATAGGCTGGAGGGACAGAGACAAGCAGTGTTACCTGGGCCAGTGGTCCCCAAGGCCACACCCCCTCCCCCTCGAAGGAATGCTGGGAGCACTGGGTACCAGACATGACACAGGGATAAGCCAATAACATTTGGGTACTTCCAGAAGTTAATGGAACCTTTTGGCATCTTCCAGGACATATGGCCCACCCAGTCCTGAGGGGACAGGCAAGATAGGAATCAGATTTCAAGGAGAAGACTGGAGTAGCTGAGAGGCTAGAGAGAAGACAGGACATGGGGGAGGGGGGATTGGGAAGGAGAGGGGGTTCTGGGGAAGGGAAGGGGTACTGGGGAGGGGACGGGGCACTGGGGAGGAGAGGAGGGACTGGGAAGGGGAGGAGGTACTAGGGAAAGGAGGGGACATTAGGGAGGGGAGGGCGCCTGGAGATGAGGAAATCCCAGGACTTTCTGATCAGCAGTGGCAGCTGTGGGAAGCGTCTGGAACCACAGAAGCAGCTGAAGAGTTGTGAATATGCCCAAATATCTCGTTTTTATAAGCTTTTAGTTAGAGATATAATTTTGAATTACAATAATATACATGCAGAATTAGGAAATCAAATCTCTGATAACTTAATCATGATCCCGGAAAAGCCTCTGGTGAAGCACGGAGGGTGAAGGGGCGTGACGTCTGCAATTCGCTCACAGCTCGGAATAAACCTGCATCACATGTGCGTGAGCATGACTGTGGCCACGTATGCATACACACGCAGAGAGAATAAAATGAGGCAGCTGGAATGACACATCCACCGCTGGGCACTGAGAGCGGGAGCGTGGAGTCGCTTGGACTAATCTCACAGCAGTGATCTTGGAATAGCTTCAAAGGACAAAGTTACCAAAAAAGCAGCCTTTAACTGGAAGCTTCCTCCAGAGCCCAGAGCCCGTGTCAGCATCCGCCTGGGCCCTGTCCTGACCTCACCTCCATTCCCCGGAGTGTGCTCGCCTAGGGAGGGTGCTATGCAACCATGCCGACACCCGTGTGTCCTAAGTGACCTCACAGGCAGACGCTGGGAGGATGCAGACGGCTGGCAGCTGTATACGATCTAAAGACTCCAGTGACGAAACTACGGGGACCTTCTGGCACACTGGTTTAGACAGGGAAAACCCTGCCACTGTGTCTTTACAGAGCAGTTCTGAGGATGATAACTGGGAGGAATGTTCACATACAATGAGACAGCAACCACAGGCACCAGGGTGGGCAGGACCAAACTGAAATGACCCCAAAATGTGCCTGAGGGCCAGCCTGTGTCCTGTTGTGTTATAGTGTCATCCACAAGGCCTCTCCACTGGCATAGAAGCTGCCAGGCCTGTTCTCTGCCCATGACAAAAGGGAACACCATCTGGCTCTCCCGCAGAAGGAGGCAGGTGTGTACAGGAGAAAGTGTATGATGCATTTCTCTTCCTTGAGAGCTGGCAGGGTGGGGACCAAAAAAAAGGATTTTTTAAATCCTTACCAGAGAATATTTTCCCATTAATTTTGAGAGGGTGTAGAAAGGAAGGGAGAGGAGAGAGAGAGAGAGAGAGAGAGAAGAGAGAAGAGAGAAGAGAGATCAATGTGAGACACATTGATTGGTTGCTTCCTGCACACACCCCAATTCCATCCAGTCAGGGCTGGGGATTGAACCTGCAACTGGAATGGAACTCGAGACCATCCAGTCCACAGGCTGATACTCTTAACTGGCCAAGCTAGCTGGGAAATTTTTTAAAACAATCAGGGCTCAACAGAAAATGAGAAAAAATCACTTTTGTGTCATTGGCTTTGGTAATAAAAGAAACCAATGAAAGAGAGGAAGGGATGGAGGGAGAGAGGGAAAGAGAAGGGAGGAAACAAGCAAGAAAAAGAGAAAGACAAAAGGGAGAAACAAGGAGAAAAAAAGGGAGAAACAAGAAAAGAAAAACTGCAATAATCACAAAAAAGAGAGGAAAAGGACTGCAGTGAGCAGAGGCTGCGCCGCCCCGTCCCCCCAGCTCCCTGGGCCGCTGAGAAAGGATGGGGTCCGAGGGCCGCGCCTGGCCTTCCCAAGCCGTGCTTACCGATGGTGCAGGCCACGAAGTAGACCCTGGACGACTGCACCTGGATGTCGAACCGGTGGCAGTACGCCACGAGCAGCCCTGGGGAGAGAGCACGCCGGTCCTCACCGGAGCTGGGGAGCCCGCGCCGGGGGAAGGCTCGGGCACGGTGCATGGTCTCACCTAATAGCCATTACTGCTCTCTCACAGATGCCACCCTGCCGGCTCAGAATGGAGCTGCAACCTGAGAGCCTGGGCCAGTGCACTCCTCACAGCATGGAGGGGCAGAGAGGTCCCGCCTGGGTGGACCTCGGGGGCAGTGGGCTGTCAAGGCCATACTCTGTTCTGGGCAGCCAGCCCCAGGCAGGCACGGCTGTGTAGTCATGACCCACAGAACAGAGCTGTCCCCAGGGCCACCTACCGGCCCCCAACCCAACACTACCGGGACACCTGGGTGCCCTCAGGGCTGACGGGTTACCCACCTACCTGTCCAGCCCCCGTACCTGGGACCAGGATGTCCCCAAAACCCAGGAGGGAGAAGGGCCGGTCACACAGGGCCAGTGGCGAGGCGTTCAGCCTGGGCACTTTCAGGACCATGGGCAGCTGTGGGGAGAGGAGGCAACACCTGCAGACCAGCCCAAGCCCACAGCCCCCTCCAGCCACCAGGGTCTGAGCGTACCTTCTCCCGTGTAGCCGAGTCCGCAGGCCCGGTCGCTACTTCCACCATGATGCTGTTCCCGCTCTAGCACAGGAGAGCCACGTCAGAGTGGGCGTGGGGTATGGGGTTCGGACAGTGTTGGGGGCGGGGCAGGGGCAGGGCTCCCACCTTGGTCAGGAAGGGCGTGATGAACACGAAGAAGATGTCGTAGATGAACAGCACCATCAGCAGCAGCGTGCAGGCCTGGGGAGAGACGTCCTGAGGGCCGGCCCAGCACTCCAGGCACACAGACCCCCTGGCACAGAGACAGAGACACCCCCACAGCCCAATTCCCCTCACAAGGCTCAGACTATTCCCCTGGATGAAGCCCTTTGGGCGTCTGAACACCTGCCCAGGCCTTGGGCAAAGGAGACGAGGGGGCGTCCAGAGCGACGTGCAGGCGGGCTGGGCGGAGCGTGAGGCCCGGTCCAGGCCCCGGTCATGGGAAAGGGGGCTGCGGTGAGCAGGTGGAAGACAGGTTCCGTGATGGGTCAGCCGAGGGTCCCCTTCCTTCCCCATGTGTTTCTAAGTTTTCCCGCCAGGTCTTGTAGACAATAACCTCAGGTCTAGCTCAGAGAAGGCCAGGACAGAGCTGCGTGGCAGGCATGTCTGGCCGCTCAAGGCCTGGGGCTGACACAGAAAAGGCCCTCAGGACTCGGGCTCGCCAGGGTCCCACCCCGGATCCTCACCTTGAAAGTGGGGAGGCGGATGGTTTTTAGCATGTAGAGACAAAAGGCGATGCCCAGCGTATCCTGAAGGATCCAGGCCCACCTGCAGGGCAGAGCAGCATTTGCTGGACAGGCTCCATCAAGAGCCACTCCCTATCCGGTCCCTCCCTATTCATACACCTTACCCACACCAGAGTCTGAAACACCCCGCACTGGGCCTGGCCTCGCCATGTTTCGAAGGCTCAGGCACTGTCAGAGGCAGCACTGTGGGTTCCAGAACCTGGGGGGCGGACCCCTCTTCGCTGGGACAGGGGGCAGTGATGGATGACAGGGCAGGGGATAAATGAACCCTCCACTCTGACACCACGAGGCCAGAGACAGACAGACAATGCTGGGCCAGATCACAGGATGGGTGAGGACCTGTGCCAGGTTACATACCCTTCCAGCCCCGGGGAAATGAGGGCTCAGACCCGCGGGGCAGGCTCTGAGGATGAGATCTGGAGTCCCCCGAACGATCCCCGTGGGAACAAGCAGCAGAGGCAAGACCCGTCTCAAACATCTGCATTAACCCAACACCATTGGGCGCTGCCTCCCACAGCCACTCCCTGGACCTGCATGTTAGATCTGTGCTGTGGAGGCCTCGCATGGCGGCTCTCAGAAAGGACTAGCCTGACAGGGGGGCAGTGGGGACAGAGGGCATTCATTGCCCGAGGTCTTGGGGGTGGTAGATCCCCTACCTTGCAGCCCTGCTTGGGCTGTCCTCCCCTTCCTGCCTCGCCCTGCACCTTGGCCGGGCTCTGTTTGCCCACCTCACTCATCAGAGGCTTCAGACCAAGTTCGAAGGCGGTGGGTGGGCACATGCTGGCTGCATGCACCCAGAGGTGCAGGAACCACGGCCCGTTCTAATTTTATACAACAGAGAAGTGTCTTGGCTTAGATTTAACTGTGAGAATTCAGGTTCTCTTTGTGTACAAAGGACTCAAAATATTTTCCCATTTTCCTTCTGCCACTTAAATCTGTTATGGCTCCAAAAGGAGGTGCCGCCAAGAACATTTAACTGCCTTGGGAAAGACTCGTTGAGAGCTGAGAGCGCCAGATGGTGTCAGCGATAGCAGGAGGGGGTTGGGCGGGAACAAGCCTGCTCTGTCCTCCTAGCGCAGCCCGGGCTCCAGGCCACAGGGCAGGCGCGCTGGCTCGCAGGGGAGGCTGAAGTGCTCGGAGAAGCCAGCCAGCCTCCCCGAGCATCCGTGAGGCTGCTGCCTGGGCACACCCCTTGGGCACCACCTCGGGAGCAGTGGGGACAAGTGGCGCCAGGGGCAGCGTCCCCTCCCGCCGCCCGGGGCCCCGTTGAGGCCGTCCTGGAGAACACAGCTTGGGGTGCCCAGGCCAAGAGGGTTTGCAGCACCTCATATCCAGATCCAATCACTGTTCATGTGGCACCCAGACAAGTCAAATGAAACTAGATGCAGGAGGCGAGCAGGGCAGCCATGGCTGGGCAGCTGTCAGCTGAGCCCCGTCAACACCTGGACGCCACTCGGCCACTGCTTCCAGGGGGCGGAAAGGAGGGCTTTTGATAACCAAGGAGGTGAACTGGCTCCAGGTGCCCCCAAATGACCTCCGGGGAGGTACAGGAAGACTGCAGTCCAGCTCTCAGAGCATCTGAGGACAGCTTTCAAGGGGGGGGGGGGGGGGCCTCCTAGGCCCTAAGACCCAGGGGCTGTACTCACTGGTCCTCATTCCGGAAGACTGCCCACACCACACTGACACCCACGCAGAACAATGCCAGGAGCAGCATGCGGACCTGAGGGCACTTGTGGAAGTAGGGCAGGCTGCTGCTGCAGACCCTGAGGCAGGCAAGGGAGAAGGGGGCAATTGTCATGGGCAGCATGCCCCTCACCCCCCAAATGACCTCTGACTCTTCCACCCTTGTTCTCACCCAGCACAAAGAAAGATCATCTCAACTCCTACCTGGAAGCCCCTCAGCCCCCTTAAGTCCGAATCCAACAAGCCCGCTGCCCAGGCCTCCTGCTGTCCTCCAGGCTCGGCTCTCAGAGGGGCCACTCCCACCCTGCCCACCTGGCCCTGCCCTCCTCCACTTCCCGTTCTCTGGTAAACCTACCCACAATTCCCCTGAGGTCCCCAAGAGCAGGCACTTAGGATGAGCAACCCTTGGCCAGTTTCCAAGCCAGCCTGCCCACAAGAGCGCACAGGAGCTCAGGAGAGCCCACGGGAGCCCTCAGCTCAGACCGTGCCTCCCGGCCTGTCCCAGGTCCCCACCTCTCACCCTTGTATGGCAGCCTTAAAAGTCTCATCCGCCCTAACCGGTTTGGCTCAGTGGACAGAGCATCGGCCTGCAGACTAAAGGGTCCTGGGTTCAATTCCGGTCAAGGGCATGCACCTTGGTTGCGGGCACATCCCCAGTAGGGAGTGTGCAGAGGCAACTGATTGATGTTTCCTCTGATTGATGTTTCTAACTCTCCCTCTCCCTTCCTCTCTGTAAAAAAATCAATAAAATACATATATAATTTTAAAAAAAGGTCTGTCTCCCTTGTCTAAACCCTTGAGTAGCTGCCCATCTACCCTTAAGAACCAAACTGGGCTTCTGGCAGCAGGGAGCCTCCAAGCCTGAACCACCAGTGCATCCAGCCAGGTGGCCCAGCCCTGCCCTGCCCTGCCAGGCACTCTGCCCAGTGCCCACATGCCCCCATGTCATCCCACTCCGCCCGTGTGTCCCCACTGGGCCTGCCTGCCCTGGAATGGAAGGTGGGGAGAGGGAAGAGGCCTCGGGAGGACTGAGAAAGCCCACTCACCTCCCCATCTTGTCCTGCACCCAAGGCCCATGAGCACCCAGCAAGCACTGGGAGCACCTGCCATCAGCCTGTGCTGTGGCAGCCTGGCCAAGGACCACGGAAGAGTGTGTGTAGGGGTGGGGGGATCCTTGAATCATGGAAGCAGAGCTTGGAGCCTCGGGGGCCAGAGGACGGAAACAGCAGTTGGGCCAAGGAGAGGTTGGGGTGCTCAAGAACAAAGCCGGGGCAAGGGGCTGAGTGGGGCTGGGCAAAGGCCACCTCAGGAAGCTCACCTGCATTTGCCAAATGGCAGCCTCTGGACCAGCGGCGACAGGCAGCTGTAGAGGCCCGAGGAGGAGGCCAGGCAGAAAATCCCAATGATCACGTAGACTGCAGAGCAGGGTGGCAGTGAGGGGACAGGCGGGCTGCGGGGTCCCGCACCCCCCAAGGAGGGCCCCGTGCACTCGTGCACTTGGGCAGGGTGACCTTCACCCGGTGAAGGGGGAGACAAACCACCGGAAGCCCTCCTCTCGCCCTGCTGTCACTGGGCTTCTCCAGAGGAGCCTCAGCCCGCGGAGACGCACCCAGGTGGTCGTAGAAGTAGTACAGGAGCACCAGCATGGAGCAGCACATGACCACAAAGACGCAGGTCATGACGGGCGTCACGTCTACAGCCTCGTCCTCCTGCTTCTCAGGCTCATCATCCCGCTTGTGCTTCATATACCTTCTAGAGAAACACAGGTCATGAGGACGCCTGGCCAGCTGGCACAGCCAAAGGACTAAGGGCCAGAGACTGAGAAGGACTGGCAGACAGCTCACCTGCTGGCCTGCCCGCCCTCCCCAGACCCACTGTGTCCACAGTGCCCTCCAAAGGGTGAGCCAGACCTGCCCCTTGGGCCACACATCCTTGTCCAGGAGCTCAGGGTCCTCGCAGACAAGGCTCCTGCAAGTTGGTTCCTAGTGAGAGGCCCGTGAACACTGCTGAGACTGCCCACAGGCCCATCTCCTGAGTGCACCCTGTGGGGACGGCCTGGGCTCACATCCCAGGGCCAGAGCACAATCTTAGGGGGCAGGACCCAGAGGGCCTTTGGCTGGGTCTCCCAGGTATTCTCAGTAACTGTATTCCAGAAGGTTCTCTGGGGGTGTGGACACCTCTCTTCTGAGCAGTCCTGTTACTCTCACATTTTCACTTCCCAGCATTAGGGGCACCCATCAGTTACACATGTGCACACACACATAAAGGAAGGATACCTACTTCTTCACGTCGCGGCTCCCAGCCCAGTAGCCCCCAAGGGCAACGGTGCCGACGGCCATGATGAAGATGATGACCATGTTGTAGTCCAGCATGGGCTCGTGTGGGGCATACAACGCTGCCCTCACCGATCGGCCAAAATTCTGCCTCGGAGAACACATCAGAGTTCAAGGCCAGGCCCCCTGCCCTCTGCCTTCTCCCACCATTCCTGACCCCAAAGCAATCAGCTCTGACGTAACAAGCTGTGCATGGAGACCAGCAAGCAGCCCTGCGTGCGAGAACACAGCCCGGAGCCCAGATGTGCACGTGCTTGCATGAGAGTGCCCGTCACCTGTGTTACTCAGGTGGCCCCTCGGGGCCCCTCGGGGAGAGGTGTGAGGCCTGCGCTTACTGTGAACTTCTGGAAGTTTCACAAAGATGGAGATTCCTGTTTACTTATATAATGATGCTCACCCTGCCCCAGACCCAGCTCCCCACATCAAAGATGAACAGGGGCCTCGGGTCAGACAGCCTGGGCCAGGCGTGTGCATGCGGCAGAGGGAGCGATGCTCGATCTCCATGTATGGGAGGCCAGGCTGGCCAAGCATGGGCCTGGGTCACTCTAACCAGCTGCACAGGGCACTCAGGGCCTTGGTCTCCATTCCTGGCATCAGATGGCCCTGGAGGCTGCCCTCACGATGTGGCTGACTCACAGTGGCCAGCCCCAGACAGAATGGCCTTGCCACAGGCCCTGCCCACGACCTACTCAGACCCAGGGCCTAACAGACTTCAGGGGGAGGGACCCCCTACCTTAAAAATGTCCAGCATGTCTTTGTAGCTGAGCAGGGCCACGGGAATGCCGATCTCCTCATACTGTGTCTTGTTGCCTCCTGGGGGAACCTGGGAGTCCAGAGGAGGCAGATCTGCTGACTGACCAAGGCCCACCCAGGATGGCACTAACAGCCAAGCCCTCCTGATGGCATGGCCACAGAGCTAGCCAGTCCTCTCTCTAAGGGAGGAGAAGATTCCCTCGTGTGTGCTGGGTCATCAGGTGCCAGCACAGGAAGGGGACACACGAGGAGGGAGGACTACAGGCTCAGCACCTCCCACTAGGGGAGGAAAACCTGCACTCAAACCTTGGGGTCAGGAGCCTAGCCACCCTGCTAGGGGCCTGAGGAGGCCAGAGGGGGGCCCACAGAAGTCACCCTCAGAGCTCTGCCTTGAGGCCCTGTATCCCCCCACCCACAGAACTGCTCTGGGATAAGCCCCCTCCAAGATGAGGGTACAAAGGCCTGAGCCCACAGCCATCAGCAAACCAAACTTCTCTATCCTGGCTGTGGCTGCCCGTTCCTGGCCAGCACCCATGCCCACTTTGGTTGGGGCCCAGCGGCTCCTCCCGGCTCCCCTTAGGGCACCTCCAACCCTTGCGCTCCAGAGGCGCCCAGGCAGCTGTACCAGGGTCTCCTTGCTGACGATGAGCAGCCCGTGTGCCCCGCTGCCCTGGGCCAGCCTCACTTTGTCGTAGAAGGTGCAGTTCCCCCGAGCCACCAGTGGAATCTGGTTGCTGAAGCCTTTGGCAGGGAGGTCGGATGCAGAGCAGAGCATGGAAGTCGTCCAGTCCCTCAGCTGCAAGAGAGACTGGGGGAAGGCAGAGCTCATAGGAGCTGTTCTGGAAGAGTCAGGGCGGGCCCCAGTCCTCACGGGAACCGAGGAGGAACCTGCCAGCCGTGCTGAGCCTTCAGTATTCAGATCACCCAGTGAGCGCCATCCTGATGCCCCCTCCCCGTAGTCCCCCTGGACTCCAGGCCCTTGCACAAGAAAGGATGAGAGGTGGAGAGTGGGCAGGGCCTGCAGACACACTGACCAAACGCAAGGCAGACAGGAGGGACAGGTGGTGTGTGCTCAGAGCAAACCCTCAGAAATCCTCCCCGCGTCTCCAGATCCACCTCTAGCATCCGTTATGGACGGGACACAAGGGGCAGGAGCGCCAGCCTCTGCAGTGAGAACTCACCCACAAGAGCATCCTCCAGGTCCTCTGAGTGGAGGAGGGAGGCCAGACCAGGGAGAGGGGTCCCCTACAAGAAGAGCAGAGCCCTTGCGCCCCCCCCCCCGCTGCTGTCACTCCTCTCGGGACCCCTCTGGCAGCCAGCCCCCATCCAGCACAGGAAAGCCTGGCTGTGCCTCCACCAGAGGCCTCTCTAGGCTGCACTCCGAACAATGCCTTTCATTCATGGCCAGAGAGGTCAACGCCCCTTTAGGGCTGCCCAGAGGCCTCTCCAGTGTGACCACCCCACGGCTCCCAGCGGAGGTCCTTCGAAGCTCTTTCCCCCAGCCGGCGCTCTGCAAGGGAGAGTCTCTTCAAGGGCCTCTCTGGACACTGGGCAGAGGGGTGGAGGGATGACAGCAAGACAGACAAGAGCCCCAGCTGAAAGGGGTCCAGAGGGCCACCAGTCCAATACTCACCGCCTTGCTGAGGTCGTGCGGTAGGTGGGCCCACTGTGGGTTGTAGAGGATGCAGTAATCCTTGCCTTTGGGGCCCCCCATCTCGGAGACCACGTGAACCATGCCATACTCACAGGCCACCTGCAGCAATGGGCAAAGAGCTCAGGGCAGGGGCCGGGCCATCCATGACATGGGGTCCAAGTTAAAGGAGGACACTTGTGAAGGCTGGGACAGAGAGGACACACACAGAAGTAACTCATGCTGGAGAAAAAGAGGGGGGACACCGAGTACAAGGACAAGTCTCCCTAGGGAGACCTGGGTGTGACCTCCGCCTGTCAGCACTCAGCCAGGGGCACACACCACACCCACAGGCCCTGGTCCCTCCTGGCCCCTGGGCGCTGTGGAGCTGAAAAGGCTGTCTGGACCTGACCAAGCTCTGCAGGCTTCGGGCTCCTAGGCCTGCCCTTCTGTAGCTCTCGCTCCCCTTGGGTTACAAACACCTCCGGACAGAGCTGGAGAATGCACCCCCTGGGTCCCAAGTCTGCCTCAGAGACAAACAGGTGGCAGCTGCTCCCAATGAAGGACACATGACGGGGACAGTCATCACCTGGCACAGTGGAACCCACGCTGTGGACGCAGCTTTGCCAACATGAGGGAGCGATAGGGGGCTCTGATCTGGCCAAGGATCCTGACAGATAGTGTGCCCCAACACCAGGCCTGGAGCACCAGGTCTGACAGCTGGGCCCTCTGCGAGCTTCCTACGCTGGCCTGGTCACCTGGCAGTGTGGCAGCATGGAGGAAAGCCCAGGGTGCCCCAACCTTGAAGTCTGAAGGCTGACACCAGGCACTGGGTGCAAGCCCCACTTCCCACAGCCCCCAAATGCCACTGTTCCAGTCGGCCCACCGGCTCTGACACTTCCCTTTGCCACCCTGAGTGAGGCACTGACGCCAAAGCAGTGCTTGCATGGTGCCACGCTTTCAGGGCACCCAGCTTTCTGGGAGGGAAGGGCAGGAAGGTGGGCTGCCTGAGTTCAACCCACGGTCTCAGAGCACTTCCCCGAGGCAGCATCCTGCCACACCTGCCTCCGTTCCCGGAGAAACACACTCACCGCGTGTCACCTCCTTCCCTTCTCCAAAGGCCTCTTCCAGATTCTCCCAGCAGAGAGCCCCCCAAGAATGCCCTTCATCCTGGCCCTAAATACTGTGCCTGGTATATGCCCCCTCCAATGCTCAGAGCCCCTTGCACCTCCTCACCCTGGGACCACATGGGGAGCAGTAGTCCCTCAACCTCGACAGAGCCAGAGAATGCACCCCTGGCTTCCCCAGAGTCTGCTACAGGGACAAACAGCCCACCTTCTGTGTTTGCAAATAAAGTTTTATTGGAACACAGCCACCCTATGCCAGTATGCAAGGCCTGTGGCTATCCTCGGCTGCCACTGCTGAGTTGGGCAATTGCTTGCAAAGCTGAAAATATGCACTTTCTGGCCCTTTCTGGAAAGTTTGCTGAACCTTGATGCATGGGAGCCAGGCTATGATGAAATGGGTATTTATGTAAAATGGAAGTGAACAGAAACTGGTTCTTTTTTTAAAAGCCATTTAAGCCCATCTGGTGTGGCTTAGTGATTGAGCGCTAGCTAACCTATGAACCAGGTCATGGTTCAATTCCTGGATTGTGAGCTCGATCCCCAGTGGGGAGTGTGAAGGAGGTAGCCGATCAATGATTCTCTCTCATCATAGATGTTTCTCTCTCTCCCTCTCCCTTCCTCTCTGAAATACACACACACACACACACACACACACACACACACACACACGGCCCAATGCATGAAATTCGTGCATGGAGGGCAGTTCCCTCAGCCCAGTCTGCACCCTCTCCAATCTGGGACCCTTCAAGAGATGTCCAACTGACCATTTAGACCCGATCCTGGTGGGATCAGGTCTAAACAGGCAGTTGGGTCCTCTCACAATCCAGGACTGCTGGCTCCCAACTGCTCACCTACCTGCCTTCCTGATTGCCCCTAACTGCTTCTGCCTGCCAGCCTGATCATCCCCTAACCACTCCCGTGCCAGCCTGATTGATATCTAACTGCTCCCCTGCCAGCCTTTTTGCCCCCAACTTCCCTCCTCTGCCGGCCTGGTCACCCCTAACTGCCCTCCCCTGCAGGGTTGATTGCCCCCTACTGCCCTCCCTTGCAGGCCTGGTGCCTCCCAACTGCCCTCCCCTGCTGGCCATTTTGTGATGGCCATCTTGTGTTCACATGGGAGCAAGATCTTTGACCACGTGGGGGCAGCCATCTTATTGTATTGGAGTGATGGTCAATCTGCATATTAATCTTTTATCAGATAGGACAGAGGCCTGGTGCATTGTGGGGGCCAGCTGGTTTGCCCTGAAGGGTGTCCCAGATCAGGGTGAGGGTTCCCTTGGGGCGTGGGGCAGCCTGAGCAAGGGGCCTGTGATGGTTTGTAGGCTGGCCACACCCCCTGGCAACCCAAGTGGAGACCCTGGTATCTGGGTTTATTTATCTTCTACAATTGAAACTTTGTATCCTGGAGCAGAGCCAAGCCTCCTGCTCGCTCTGTGGTGGCAGCCATTTCTGTTGGAATTTATGTATTTTCTACAATTGAAACTTTGTAGCATGGAATAAAGGCCTGAGCCACAGGGCTACAGAAGCTTGGTTTCTTCCATCACTCAGGGCAACCCTAGCCTCCTGCTCTTCCAACTCAGTAGTTCCCACCATTTCTGTGGGAATTTATTTACCTTCTATAATAGAAATTTTGTACCCTTGAGTGGAGGCCTGGGCCCACCAGGGTGTGTGGAAAGCTTGGCTTCCTCCATTGCCAAGGAAACCCAAGCCTCACTCCTGCTCTCTGTGGCCGCAATCGTGGTTGGGGTTAATTTGCATACTCGCTCTGATTGGCTGGTGGGCATGATTGGTGGGTGTGGCTGGTGGGTGTAGCAGAGTGATGGTTAATTTGCATATCACTCTTTTATTATTAATAGATAGGAGATATATAGGATGTATGTATATATTCCCTCCCCCAAGCACACTGCATGGACTTTCCTTCCCACAACCTGTACAACTAAGCAACTAAGCCTGTGCTTGTATCAAATGCCAGAGAGATCAGGTTTCACTGTGCTTACAGTTCCCTCATCCTCTTGAGTTAAAGGAACTGGGAGAAGTTCTTCAAAAGGGCCCAGTGATACAAGTGCCCATGTTCCAACACAGCCTATCCCAATTTAGAGAACCAGAAATAATCAAGGCTACCGAGGACAAGCAACCTTCTGACACATCACATCAGGGTAGGTCCAGGACGCCCAGAGACAGTATGCGTAAGGATTACTGTGAAAGCATCCAAATCAGGGACTTTGAGAGACTAATGGGTCCAGGCTGGGGCAGTCTTCCTTTCTCAGAAGATGTGGTGAGTTCTGAGGGCAGGGAAATGAGAACCCAGATGCTTGGACAGTGTGAGAAGGGGACGGGGACAGGTGGAGGGAGCACAGGTGCAGGAGGGCCAAGGAAGCAGGTGGAGGAGAGGTAGGGAGGACAGGTGCAGGCCAGTTAAGACCTGATGAAAAAGAGCCTCCATCTGGTCTTTCTGTATAAATTACACAGCAACTGAGAAAGGTGGGTACATTAGGGGAAGTCAAATCCCTCACTGGATCACAAAGTGGTAGCAAGTGAGTGTAGGGCTGTCAGCAAGCACCCCACCCCCTCTCACCCAGGGGAGAGCTAGGGTACTGGAGGAACCATAAAGAGCCACACCCAGCCAAGGAGGGGCGCTGCGTCATCTCAGGGCGTGTTTCCAACAGGGTTCTGCTCTGGGGAGAGCAGTCCCAGCGGCACTCCTCGCTCTCTCCAGCATTCTCCTGATTCTCTCTCCTCAGGATAAAGTTCAAACTCCTCAGCCTGCCTAGATAAGTCCAAAGGCCCAACACCACGACCTTCATCCACCTGGCTCTGACATGCCCAGCCTGACCCCCAGGCCCCAGCCTAGGGAGGTCACATGCAAGGCCTGCCCTTTACCCTCTGCCTAGAGCTGCTCCCGTTGCTGGCCCTGCCCCTGCCCTCCAGTTTGGGGGGGAACCCCAGCCTGGCTTCAGGTGCACCTAAAGGAACTCCTTTACGCTGACATCTTTCTCGGGGTGCAAGCATCAGACTACCCTACACATCAACCACAGCAGAGCCCTCACTGTCCACAAATAAGTCATCAGCTCTCATCCCTCCACCTGGCTCCTGCCACTCCCACACCTGTCCCATCCTCCCTCAGCCTTCAAGACCTGGCAAACACCACTCAGGCCACTGCTTCTGAAAAGCCTTCCCAGGCAAACTGAGCCACACTTCCTTCACGGTGTTCCCAGGATTCTTCATAGCCCTCTCGCTCGGCCCTCATTCAAAATATCCGGAGAGCCTAAACGCGGCCCTCACACTGCTCAGAGCTCAAACTGGTAATTAAACAGGCAGGAGGACAAGGGGCTGGCAAACAGGTGGGAGGGGGCATCCTAAAGCATTTGGGGAAGGTACAGTTAAGCTGAGACTGGAAGGATGACCAGGGTGGTCCAAGGAAAATAAATAAATAAAAATACAAAAACAAAAAGAACAAAGAACAGAGTGCTTCAATTAACTAGAGCTGGAAAGGGAGAGACGCCAGATCAGAGGCTGACACACTTTGAAAGCCATCATTACTGCTGCGTTAGGAATGGACCGTGACTGTGGGGGCAAAAGTGGCCAGGGGAGGCCGTCAGCCACCGCCCTGAGCTACAGGAGAGGTGGCAGTGGGGTGGCGTGAACAAGCCAAGGTTAATGACCTTGTTTGTAGGGCTGTTAGGAAATCCAGTGCCTGCGCCCCTGAACCCAGAGGAGAGGGAGGATGTGGAAATAAAAGATGCAGGCCTGACAATGTACATCAGCCACTTCGTGGCCAGTCCCTCTCTAGCGCCTGAGCCCCTTAACGTTAAGGGACAAAGTACCGTGCGGCGCTTCATTACCCCATGCAGCACCATCTCGCTGAGTCCACGCTGCACCCTTTGCTCCTTTTGCAGAGGAGCAGCTGAAGCCCCAAGCGAGGAACTCCCTGGCCCAAGGTCACGTTGTAAAAGTGAGACGGAAATTCGGCCCCCCTCCAGGGTTCCTGGCCGCTCCCCAGACACTGCCTAGGTGTCGCGCTGGTCAGCTTACCACAACCACCAGGGCGAGCGTTGGCATCGCGCGTAAGGGGAAACTGAGGTCGGAGAGGGGCAGCCACCTGGCCAAGGCAGACAGGAGCGTCCCTGGCGGCGGCTGGCGACCCCGGGATGGACCAGCAGGGCCGGAGGGCGGGGGAAGGTCCCCCAAACTTCAGACCCGCGTGTAACCGAGCGACGATGCAAAGGGCTTTCGAGGAGGAGAAGGGAGCCGGGCCGGGGACAGGCCCGCAAGGTCACGGCGGGGCTCCGGGGCCCAAGAGCGGCCCGCGCGGGGACGCCTGTCCCCGAGGCTGCCCCCCGGCCGGGGCGGGCGGACCTGCGCGCAGCAGGGTCCCCAGAGACTGGGTCACCGCCTCCGGCGGGACCAGCGGGACGGGCACAGCCCTCACCTGGGCCGCGAGGAGGAGGCAGGCCGTCGCGAGCTTCGCCAGCGCCGCCGCCGCCGCCGTCGCCGCCATGTTGGCGGGTCCCAGCCACAGGCGTCGCCAGATGTTTCCCAGCAACGCCCCGGCGCGCCACGCGCCGCGCAAGCGCACTGCGTGCGCCGCGCTAGCGTGCGTAGTGGGTTCAAAGGGCACGGGGGCGGGGCCTCCGCGGCGCGGCGCGGCAAGATGGCGGTGAGCGTGGCGGGGACCGGCGAGGGCCGGCGGGAGCCACGGGGCCGGCCGCGCTCCCCGCCTCACGCGCTCTGCTTCCCCCGCAGGACAAAGAGAAGAAGAAGAAGGAGAGCATCTTGGACCTGTCCAAGTACATCGACAAGACGATCCGGGTGAAGTTTCAGGGGGGCCGCGAAGGTGAGGCACCCGCTCTGCACCCCCTGGTGACTTAGGGGAAGTAATGGGGCCAGAGTGACAGCTGATACCCGGGCACCGCGTAGCACTTTGCCCGGATCACTCGCGCCAGCTTCCTAAAGGCGCCGGGTGGTCGGAGCTGCTGTGCCCCTTTGCCGCTGGGGAAGCTGAGGCTGGGAAAGGCGATTCACCCACAGCCGCAGGAGTCCACCTGGGGCTGGGATGCAGACTTGGCCTCCTGTGTGGTTCTGTCGCTGCAGATCCTTACCAATCCCCCTTCACCAGTGTTCCTAAAGATCTGCAGTTAACTTTGGGGCCCAAATGGTCTTGGTTGTGGAAGCCATTCTGGACACCGTGGGTTGAGCGCCATTCCTGGCCTCGACCCACTGGGTGCTAGGAGCATCCCTTGGGCTTTCTGTTTGCTTTAGTACTTATCTATCTATCTATAACATATAAAAAAGCCTACACTACCAGTCGATCATGACTGACCACTGGACCAGTCGACCAGTAGCTATGGCACACACTGACCACCAGGGGGCAGACGCTCAACACGAGCTACACTCTGGTGGTCTGTACCCTGGAGTGCTGCTCAGCCAGAAGCCGGGGTCAGGCCGGGCTGGCGAGCGCAGCAGGCGCAGTGGGGCCAGGATGAGTGGGAGCAGTGTAATGCCCGGCCCCAGCTCGGGCTCCTCCCCAGTCACCGGCTGCTTTGCCCACCGCTACATCCCTCGGGGATGTCAGACTGCAGATTTCAACCCCTGCCAGGATAGGATTGGAACTGCAGTCCGACATCCCCAGAGGGGTCCAGGATTGCAAGAGGGCGCAGGCCAGGCTGAGGGACCCTGGGCGTAGCCTAAGCAACCATTTGACCCGGTAGCTATGACATGCACTGACCATCAGGGGGAAGATGCTGGATGCACAGGCATGTAAACATGGAACAGACTGATGAATCTCAGGGGGGAGGGGGAGAGAGGAGAGCAGAAAGAAATCAATCAAAGATCTTATATGCATACTAGAGGCCCGGTGCACAGATTCATGCACTGGTGGGGTCCCTCGGCCTGGCCTGTGGGGCCTCTAGTTAGTATCTTTAATGATTTCAGAGGGGAAGGAAGAGGGAGGGAGAGAGAGAAACGGTTAGAGAGAATCATTGATTGGCTGCATCTTGCACACCCCCAGTATGTGCCCTGTCAGGGAATCGAGCCCTTCCCTCTTGGTTCATAGGTCAAGACTCAGCCACTGAGCCATGCGGGCCGGCATGCTGGCAGCATCCCTTAGTTTTGACAACCAAAATGTCTCAGACATCGCCCACTGTCCCCTCTCTGGAACCATAACCTATGATGCTTGGGGTTTTTTGTTGTTGTTCAGGGTTTTTTAAATTTTCACCTGAGGAGTGAGGATATTGTTTCCACTGATTTTTAGAGGGGGGGGGGGGGAGCGTGCAGGGGAGGATGAGAGAGAGACAGAGAGAGAGAGATATCAATGTGTTAGAGACACATTGATTGGTTGCCTCCAATTCGAGCCCCATCCGGGGCCAGAGGTTGAACCTGCAACCTAGGTAGGTGTCCTTGACCAGGAATCGAGCTTGAAACCCTTAGTCCCCGGACTGAACCTAACCACTGGGAGGTAAAAGTCACATAACAGAGTTAGCCATTTTAAGGTACGCCATTTAGTGACGCTGGGTACCTGCCTCCGGAACCACTGTTGGTCTTACACCTTTCCCTTTCTCTTCTCTTCTTGGTGATTCCTACAAGCCAGTGGAATCCTGAAAGGGTTTGACCCACTCCTCAACCTTGTGCTTGACGGCACCATCGAATACATGAGAGGTGAGTGCAGCCGGCGGGACTGGAGGCCTCCAGGACTTACCGGGCCTTTCTTACCGCTCCAGGCCCTGCCATCTGAATGGTAAATGTGGTCCTTATAGAGCAGACAGCTGCCATCTGTCCTCACTCTTTCACTGTCCCAGCATTCCAGGCAAGCTCAATACACCATCCTCTCAGAGAATTACGGGATGCTGGGAGTGTTTTGCTGATCCACCATTACTGATCCTGAGACACTTGCTGTCTGGCTAGGTTAGAAAGATGCCAACTGGCTCTAGCTGAGTAGCTTAGTTGGTTAGAACAGTGGTGGGCAAACTGTGGCTCTCGAGCCACATGCGGCTCTTTGGCCCCTTGAGTGTGTCTCTTCCACAAAATACCACGGCCTGGGCGAGTCTATTTTGAAGGAGTGGCATTAGAAGAAGTTTAAGTTTAAAAAATTAGGCTCTCAAAAGAAATTTTAATCGTTATACTATTGATATTTGGCTCTGTTGACTCATGAGTTTGCTGACCACTGGGTTAGAACATCATCATAACTAAGTGGAGCAATAAATTGGTGTGTTTCTTTCAAATCAACAAATGAAAAAAAAGAAATGCCAACCTACTCTAGGGCTTGGCCAGCCCCCTGCCTCTTGCCATTTCCATGTGTTACTTCAGCTGACAGAGGGTCCCGTTCCCCTTATACGCCCCCCCGCCGTCCTTGTACCCCTAAATTGCAAGACCCTCCATCTGCAGCAGCACATAGCAGTCAAGCCACCCCTGACCCATTAGCCACCAAGTTCTTTTTGTTTTTTTGTTTATGTTCACCCAAGGACATTCTTCCATTGATTTCTAGAGAGTAGAGGGGAGAACAAGAGAAGAGAGAGAAACATCGATGTGAGAGACACATCGATTGGTTGCCTCCAGCATGCTCCCCAACTGGGGCTTGGATTCAAACCTGCAACCCAGGTACATACACGCCCTTGACTGGGAACTGAACCCACGATCTTTCAGTGTACAGACCAATGCTCTGACCACTGAGCAACACCTGCCAGGACAGCCAACAAGTTCTTCAACTCAGCTTGATCCAGGCATTAAGGGGATACCAACACCTGAGAGAGGGAGGGTCTTACTCCTCACGGGACCATTAATACCTTGAGACACACGTTGCTCTGGTGAGAAGTTATCACAGCCACGCAGAGTGTCACTGGGCCACCGAGCAGAAACATGGTCGGTCCGGTTGCTGGATCCCAGGAAGCCTCGCGCTTTGCCCTCATTTTTTCTCTTCCTGCCTGGGATACCCAAAGTCTCAGCCCTGCCACCTGAGGAGGATGAATTTCCTTGTCTATAAGACAGACACCACCTGGGGCCCGTGGGGGAACCAGGCCGGCTGAAGCATGCAGAGCCCTGGGCGGGTGGCTGCTGCTCCTTCAGAGCCTCTCCTGCCAGGTGCTGCCTCACTGCCGAGCAAGTCTGTGTCCCCTCCTCTCCGTCCAGAACAGCCCCTCGGGGAGGCCCGAATGCATAGGGTATGGGAAGGCCAGGCCCACTCAGCTGCTGTCCCTGCAGGATCTGAGGGTGGCGGCTGCCTCTCAGATGGCGTCTCATCTCACTGCGCCACCTCGTCTCCCCTCCCCACATCCCTCAGTAACAGTAATGGGGACTTTGGTCACGGTGCCCTCAGACGAGCTCCCCTGGAACTTACATGGGGTCCCTCTCGCTCTGCTGTTGACTCCTTTGACACGGGTGAGCAGAGGCCCCACAGGGCTTTCACAAAACTGTGTTCCGGCGGCCTGTCTGATTACATAGCCCCAGGGTCTCTGCTGGCTCAGTGCCCGTGCCCCCAATTAGCTTCGCTACCCAGCCTCCCTGCGGTCCCCCGGGCCTCCGTGCACTCATTTGCAGAATGAGGGCAGGCTTCGGATGGTGGATTCCAGAACTCTTCTCGTCCGTGGGCCACGGCAGGGAGAAGGCTGCATGCCTGGCTTTGAGAGGCGTTTGGTCCGCTGCCCTGGCCAGCATGTCCTCTCCAAAGCCCTGGATGGAGGGATGGAGGGATGGGGGAAGCGGTCAGAGAACCGTTTGATTCGGATCTTCGGACCCCATCCTGCCCCAGGCATGGTCTCGAGTTCTTACTCTGCCCTCTTCCTCCGCAGACCCCGATGACCAATACAAGCTCACAGAGGACACCCGCCAGCTGGGCCTGGTGGTGTGCAGGGGCACCTCGGTGGTGCTCATCTGCCCGCAGGACGGCATGGAGGCCATTCCCAACCCCTTCATCCAGCAGCAGGAGGCCTAGCAGGCGGAGGGCGCGGACCAGGGTGCCGGCAGGCTGGAGCTGTCCCTCCTGTCTTAAGTGCTGCCCGCAGACATGGAACTTTCCTTTTTGTATAGGTTATTTTTTGTTTTCTTAATAAAATTGCAAATCTCTCATTTCCGGGAGCCCCAGAATCTTGCTTTCAGCCTTGATATTCTGACAAAGCTTGGTTACAGGGATTCAGTTTAGCTGAGTTACCTATTGCCAGCCATGGTCGGTGATGGAGATAGGCATTCCAAGGTGACTGAGCACGCCGTCCGGGCTGGGCGATAGGGACCTGTGAGGCTGGACCAGGTGCAGACATCCCAGGCCAGCCTATGGTTCCAGGGGGTGTACCAGCCACCAGCCTTCTCAGCAGGCAGGTCCCAGCAGCCTGTCTGCTCCTCTGCTTTGTCCCTTCAGTGCCTCCATGTGCTATCCTGAGTGGTCCCCCAAACCAGGGCCTTCCATTCACGTCGCTGCTCACAGCTTCATTCTCACAAAGAACAATGCAGGTGGAGTATGGTTCTCAGTCCAGTCCTGCAGCCTCCAAGTTCTTCTGACCCTCTTCTCACCTTCCCTTAGTCCAGCTCCAGCCCACCCAGGGCCCTGCCCCCTCCTCCTCTCAGCTTATGACTCCACCCCAGCCCTCTCAGCTGGTCCACTCAGCGGTCATGCTCATGAATGCCCCTCAGTGCCCCATTCTTAAAAGCTGGACTTTTCCTGGCTCCTGTTTCATAAACTCAGTCCTTGGAAGACTGTCCCCCACAGTACTGTGCCTGAGTGACAGTAGGGCCGAGGCTGGGAATTGCAGGCTGGCAACTGTTCACTAATAGCTGGGGTGGGTCACACAGGAGTGACGGCTGGATGGCTGCCTGCTTGTCATAGCCGCCAGATAAATAAACCGCTGGCTCCCTCCTTATCGCGGGATCTGGGCTCTGCTGTGGCCAGGCAGGATTAGCTCCAGCTGCTGGGAATGAGGCCTAGGAGCCAGCGTGTACACGTGCTCATCCTGCCATCTGGCCCTGCCCACCTCCTCCAGTACCTTATTAGAGGCCTCATTCCAGAGCCAAAGCCTCCGACAGCTGGGCACTGGTGGTGCTAGTCTCATTGTGGGTGGATTGCACCCCCAGGGAAGCCTGTGCCCTAGAACCTGGGCACTCCCAGCATGCCAGCATCCAAACCTCTGTGCCTCAATGTCGGAAAGATTTCCTCTTCGTTTGACAATAGGGGGACAGGGAGGGCACACCATGGAGAGACTGAACGCAGGCCTCTGCTCTGTTCACTCTGCATACCCAGCCTGCCCTGTCTGAGGCCAAGATACAGGCTGAGGCAGACCTGAGAGCTTAAGGCCGGAGGGCTCAGGAGCTTAAAACTCCAGGGTGGGATGGGGTGGAGGGCAGCATGTTTGCAGGCTAATTAGAGCCAGGACCGAGAGACACCTGGTTTTCCAGCCCCAAGCTTCTGTTACAGAGGAAGCAAGGCTTGTGTCTGGCACTCCTGGCCCCATAGTTGTGCCCCTCAAAGCAGCCCCCAGGCTTCAGCCCCCTCTCCACTGACCCCCTCACCTCCCAGCAAACTGATGGGGGCAAACGCTGCCCTCAGTAGCCACCAAGTCCGGGGCTCAAATCTCCCACCGTTTGCCGTGTGGCTTAGAGGAAGGGTCCCAGCCTTTCTGAGGTCTAGTTCTATCTTAGGTTCAAGCAAAGGCATTGCATAGCCACTCTGTGAGTAGGCACTGGGCCGCAGTAGTGTGGGGAATTAAGAGCACAAAGCTTTGTGTTGAAGTCTGAAAATGAGAGCGGAATGCTGGGGGTTGGGAGCCAACAAGGGAGACCTGACTTTTGGGGGGCTCAGGCAGAATTCCCCAGAAAGAGAGAGAAAATGAGTTCCTGCCATTGAACCATATCCGCCCTGGAGAGTCGCTTTGACCTAGTTTGTAGAAGTTTGGAAGTAACCTAGCTGCCCATCCCTGGGGGATCTGAGACAACCACAAAGCAACGTTCTACAAAGACGGAGCTCTGTGCAGGGTGCTCAGACACAGACATCCTCCGCAGCTCTTTCTAGCAAGGATGGGGCTGTCTCTCCAGCCTCTGGATTCTGGGGACTTGATTTGCTGGTAAGGAAATGGCAGGAATGACAGTGTGGGAACTCAGAGACCCCTTTGCAAAGGGGCCTTGGGGCGTCCCCCTGTGTCCTCTGGGAATGCTGCCATGACAAAAGGAAGCCGGACCCGCTTCTGGAGCCTGGGAAGCCCTGTGGAGGAGCACTGAGGCCCCGCCGACACCAGCACCACGTGCCTGTGCCCTCCTAAGCGCCTCAGGATTTCTGGGAACCCCGCAGGCTTCCGGGGCCTCCCCAGTTAACCCAGGAGGAACTTTGCAGCCAACCTACAGAATCGTGAGAAATAATACATTGTGTTATGCCACCGAGTCAGAGGGATGTTCGTTATGCAGTGACAGGCCACCAAGACGTGCTCACGGAGGCTGTGTCAGGTTGCACAGGGAAACAGGTTTATCAGGGTACACACGGTACAATACCATCCAATTAAAATAATACATTTGTTAAATATCCTGTGTTTCTATGCTTTGAAATGTATAGGGAAAGACCTGGGATTGAGGATAGTGATCCAAGGAGTCTGATAGCCTGTTCTCAGTATAATATTTCACAAGGAGAGACAGAATAGCTTATATTATACATTTAACATTATATGAGAAGTTTAATATTTTACAAGGAGTCAGAGAAAGAGAAGGCCAGAGCACATGGGGAGACACAGAGGCGATTTACAGAGATGAGGATGGCAGGGGAGAGAAATGAAGACACAGCCTTCCTGGCCATCGGAACTGGGCGCCCCTCTCCTTGCCCTCTGGCGGTGTAAGTCCCCAGCCCTCCCAGCCAGCAGCCAGTGCACAATGCCCTCTGACTCCTGCCGGGATCCCATCCTCCTGGCTCCCAGCCCACAGGCCCTGCAGCCTCAGAACACCGGGCAGGGGCTCCGGCCACCAGCCAAGGCCAGCCCTACCGCACAGGCAGATGGTCACAGCTTCCGGTGCTGGCAGAGAGGCCTCACGCGTTGTCTGGGAGACATCACTAGAGCCCCCAGCACCAGGCCAGAAAGGGGCAGACCCCCGCTTGAGCACAGACCAGCCAGAGAGCCCCATGATACCACCCCGTTACAGATTCTGGGGTCTCTGAAAGGTGGACAGGGTTTGACATTGGGGATGCTCCGCCTTGCCTCACAGCTGCCTTGTCTCCAAACAGCTTTTGTAGAAGACGAGCTAACACCCCTCTTAGACGCCCCCAAATCCTCTCATCATCCCTGTTCACAGAGAAGGAAACCTTTCTAAGGGTCACACGGCCTCCCGCACCTTCTGCTCCCCACCTCCTGTACTCAAAAGCCACCAAAGCTGACTGTCCCATGGGTGCAGAAACTCAGCCCAAGCCGAATGGGCAGGAGATCATGTGGTAGGGGGCAAACAGAAGGGAAGGGATCCCTGCCCACCGCCCTGGCCCCAGTCAGCAGCTGGGAGGGAGCAGGTGCCCTGGCTCTCAGCCTGCAGGTCCATTCCTGCCACCGAAAGCCAAGAGGAGACCTCACTGCACTCCCCCGCTCCACGAAAGGACTGGACAAGGCCTACCACCCCCAACCCCAACCCCACCCCCACCCCCGGCTGCATCTGGGCATGCCGCTGTCTGTTTCTGGATCCCCGGTTCCCGGTGAGTGAGGCAAGAGCAGTCCGGTTCTGCGTGGATTCAGACAAGGACATGGATGTGAAAGGAAGAGGGTTCTGTGAATGGGAAACTTCGCAAATGTGAGTGGCTCTTGGATCCCGGGGGATGTCACTTTGAACTCAGGGTCAGCCCAGGCTGAGACAGGGATGACACCCCTCCAGATGGCCCTCCTGCTCCCCACTGCTCTCAACATATCCCTCCCCACCTTCAAGCCCACGCAGAGCCCCACTGTCTGCAGAACCATCAAACTAGGAGCGCCCGGCTGGCATGGCCAGGAGGTCAAAGTTCGATGCCCAGTCGGGGCACATGCCTGGGTTGTGAGCTTGATCCCCAGTGTGGGGCCTGCAGGAGGCAGCCAATCAATGATTCCTTCTGATCATTGATGTTTCTATCTCTCCCTCTCCCTTCCTCTCTGAAACCAATAAAAATATATTTTTTTTAAAAGACGAAGACGAGGGTAGGAGGGTAGGAGGTCTCTGGTGCCCAATAAAGTCCGGCTACTGAATGAGGGCCCTCCTGTTTTGTCAAGCTTTCTCCCTCCATTCAGGGCCCAGGTGAGCAATCTGGGGTTCCTTGATCCACCCTGCCAGCTCCCGCCCATCCCTCAGGGCCATGCCATGCTGACCAGAGCCAGCAGGGGTCAGGAATCACCCAGGAATGAAGAGCCGGAGGCAGGAAACAGCCGTCCTGGTGTGCTCTGCAACCCAGAGGGATTAGAATTACTTCCATGGTACAGAGGAGGCCAGAGAGGTCCCGTCACTACCTGTGGGTCACACAGCAGGGACCCAGCACCACCCCAGGGGCTGGATCTGGCGCCCAAAGCCTCCATTGCTCTGGATGCACTTTTGCCACTGAGCACCGGGTGGCTCCGCACCCAGTTACAGAGGGGGCACCACGTGTCTGGGGCCCCCTCGCCTGCCCCCACCAGCTGAAACAGCCCATCCTACACATCTTGCTGCAGAAAAAGGACCAGGGAAGGAGTGCTTTTAATTTTAGAAATAATTGTGACCACACAAGGGCTCCTGCTGGCTTTCCCAGGCACAGAGAGGGAAAGATAGAGAGAACCCAAGGCCCCTGCTGTACCGCCTTCCCATCCCCCCCCCTTCCCCGCCGGAAGGACTTGGGAAAACCTCTGGGCAAGTGGCTGCACCCTCCCATCCCAACCCCTCCCATGGCTTCCCCATCTGGAGCCGGTCTCTCCTCTCAGGTGGTCCATCTCCATGGTAACATCCCTATCTCAGGTGGTTGTAACCTTGGCAACCAGGTAGTCT